GGATGTGCTGCTGAGTCCTTACGTCCCTGAACATGTTTTAGACTAAATGATCCGTTCTTTTCGCGTTTTCGTGACCCAGTCTCCTACTCGTCAGTTCTCTTTGTCGTCACGCAACGGTCCTCCAGTTTTGGGGGTAGACATAAACACAATAGAAGCTCTTCAAGCCCTAAGAGTGATCAGCGTCAAATTTCTCCTTGTAATATCAATGCATTATAAAACAAAGTGGTCATGAGAATTAAGGACATGATCACACAAGATGAATCCAATTGATACTTCAAGAAATTCTCCCCACTACTTCTATTGAAAACGTGTAGGGATAACAAATGAGAATTTGAATTTTGATTCTACGGTTTAAGGGGTTGAAGAGTAGTCTCCCTAATCCGCTTTGGGATAACATGGAAAGAGAGTGTAGGCGGAAGCTATTCTGCCCTCTCTGGATATTTGTATAAGTGTTTATGGACCCATGGGATCGTAGGTTCACCAAACTTAACCAGTCGTTTATGATACACATTTTAATATTATTAGACTCTTTGCATTAACACGATACTCTTACTAAATTTACTACAACATGTATGACTTTTTCCTTTGCGTGAGTCAAAACGTTACATCCTAGAAGGAGAAAAGTTGACGTGCATTCATTATTTCTTGTAACAGCGTCGTCTGCAGCAATATCTCTATCATTTTCAAAACCTTTTTGTTTTTGTGTTAACTATCATTTGGAAGTAATATTTCTTTTTCTGTTCCTTGTCGTTTATCTGTGTCATCATTTTGTTTATTCTGCTCGTTACTATCATCACTGTCTTGATTCTTCTCCTGTTTCTTTTCATCGTCCATCTTATTATACGCCTCGGTAAATTTCTCATCAATGAAGCTCTCCACCAGACCTTGGATCTCCTCTTTATCTGGGCATTCAAGTTCGTCAAGAATCCGCCGGATATCTTGTACAGCTGCAGATGTGGATCCACGATGCAGCTCCAAAAATGATTTGACGAGTAACGTCATACCCAGCGGCAACAGAGCGGCGCTGATTACAGAACCAGCAACGTGTACCGCGCGCGTCCCCGCCATAGCCGCACTTCTGGCTACAGCGCCTGCAGTAGCGGCCGATGATGGAGATATTAGAGGATGTTAGCATCAACAACGACTACGAGTACGAGAACGAGTTCAAGCCGCACTCGTACTCGAAGTCGTTTTCTCAGCTTTCTATGTTAGCGATGACACCGAGTTCGAGTTTATAGAAAATAAAATTATGGGATTCCGCATGACTGGGCGCCAAATTTGAGTCGAAGTAAGGGTCATTTAATTTTCGTGAGCCTGTGAGGCCTGTGGAGAGACATGAAACTTTCCCGGGTAAATGCAAATTTACTCTGTGTAGGAAATATCGTGTTCGGTTGCTTTTCCTCGACTTCAAAAGCAGTATTTTACATAAAACATAATATAAGGAATGTTCAAGATGATAAAGAGAGGCTAGAAACGAAAAGAAACTGCATTAAACGATCGGGATTTACCTTTGAAAACCAGCTCTTCCCAGTCGTTCTACCCACTTCGAGTTTTTGGTGAGAACTCGTCGTAGTGCAACTTGACAGGACGACTTGAAAACGTGGAGATGCGCAGAACGGATGCGCAGTACGCAAAATCGCTGATCTCGTTCTAGAACTCGTACTCGTTGTCGATGCTAACATCCTCTATTGTGGCTGCGGAAGTGGCTGCTCTGAAGAACCTGGCACCGAATTCTACTCCCCTCTTCGGTGGACGCGCCGATCTCTTCATAGGATATCCGCTGACTAAGAAATTCAAGTCCACTTCCTTCTAATTCTCTGAGCAAAACCGCGTCATCATGCAGTGGTTTAAGGAACTCTGCTAAGCTAGAGATGAAGTTCTCTAAGGAATCTAAATGTTTTTGGAGCTCACTACAAGCTTCACAATCGTCCTCAATTGCCGCTTGCACTTCTTTGAGTCCCAATTTTTCCAAGATTATATCAACGACTTTGGAGCCAGACATAACCAGTCCTCCCGCGCCACCTATTCCTGTCCCAACAAGGGACACTACGATTCCTGCCCCAAATGTAAAGGGTGCAGCAATGAGGCCCGCAACTGACAGGATCCCCCCTATGGGACCCATGGACGCTCCTGTTATGGTTGAGATATTTACGTTTCTGTGATGTTCATGTAGCTTTGTGTCTAGTTCTTCTAATTGTTGTTTAGTGCGCGTTCTTATTGGTATTCAGCTTAGAAAAGCGTCGTGTAATTCCTCTCGAAGTTTGCACAATTGTTCAATTTGCGCAGTGATATGGTTAACGCGATGAATGATTCGTGGTTTTCGAGCATGTCACTGCTATCGTCCTTGTTTTTTACCTCTGTAAAGGAACAAAGATCAACATTTCTTGGGTCAAAAAAAGAACAAGAGATCAATGTTTCTTGGGTAAAGTTCTCTGCCACAATAATTCACATAGAAAAGTGGAAGCCACATTCCAATTAAACATTTGCGCAGTTTTATTTTGCGTTTCGAATGTTGCGATCAACAAAAAATGGCATTCACCTGCCTCCGGTCCGCTCTTAGCTTTTTCCAGTTTAGATAGTGGAGAGTGCTGCGAAATGGAGAGCGAAATGTTATTGAATGTTGATTAAAATGCAAAAATCGTTATTGAATCTGATTTATGCGCAAATGTTCTTTTCTTCGCGCTAATGAATATATCGTCGCACTATTAGTCGCTGTTTCACGCAAATGAATGCGCATTTTCTCTTAATGAACATCAAAAGGTGTAATCCCCCCCCCACCCCCGCGCACCCCTCACCCGGGTATCCAAAGCTTTGCAAGAACAGGCGGGAAGCAAAAACAAAAGCCAAGCGCAGGCAAGTGCTTTTGTCGTTAATTATCATCAATTCACTGTTTTATCTCTTCAATGTAATGTTTAATTGTTAACAAAAGTATCTTGTTGTTGGTGGTGTTAGAATCTGTCAGACTCAAAAGTGACATCGCAGACCACTACAAATTTATGGGCACAATACACAAACAGATTCATTTCCTATACTAAAGTTAATTATTTCTTTTACTTATGACGTTCATAGCAAGAGACTATAAAGGGCACAGAGAGGGCATCCCCCATATACACCCTATTCCATAGGTAATTCGTCTCGAGTTATTTTTAGAATCGGGATAAAGTTACCTCGCGCGAGGCGTGGATGTTTCGCGGAGGTTTCGCATGACCAAACGCCGTGCAAAACATGTCGGGCGAGAGGCAATGAAAGCGTAAAAAGATCGAGAGCATTCCTGAATATTGGAGCGAAATGAGTCGGCGCTCACCTGGGAAAAAGGAATCGCTGGACTCTTTGACAACCCGTGAAATCAGTTTAACTCGAAGTTGTCGTAACCTCAGTGCTTTAATAAAATGAGAAATTTCGCCAGTCTATTGAAACCGGTCGTTTGTACAATTTAGGGAGTTTAAGATCCAACGACGCGGACGACAACTAGAACGTCAAAAAAACAATAGGTTTAATTAGCAAAACAACAACTTCGCACGTGCAACACACTTTTTTGTTCATTTCTTTCCCGTTTTTGCACGACTACGACGTGAAAATGCATAATTTCGCGTTTTATGGAGGACGTAAATAAGCAACGACGAAATTTTATTTCTCTTTCTGAGCTTGAATATGGTCCCTTGAAATTCAGCTTTAGGAGGGTTCGCCTACAATTGGCAAAGTAAGTGGGTAGCAATAATCGCTATAAAGACTGAAAAAAATAAACATCAAACCAGAAATTGCTCTCTTCAAACTGTAAATTATAAATGTTCCTGAGAGAATATTCAGTGTGTTAAGGATTTCCTTGCTCTACTGTTAGCTCTATACAAGAGAGGAAGGGCGATTCTTTTTTAATTTCGGTTTCGCTGACACAGCTTTCGCAGAAATCTCGCTGTAGTCGTTTTCGTCGACAAAAGGAATAGCAAAATCGCTCTCCGCGTCTTCCCCTATTTTGTTCTGCGTCATTTCGTGAAGGACGCGTGGCTCTTAGCGTGGGTCATCCACGCGGAACACATTCGCGCTATGTGATTGGTTGTTGTCTAATCCCCCTTGAGATCTGTGGTGTTAAAAATAACTCGAGACGAATTACCTATGGAATAGGGTGTATATGAGGGATGCCCTCTCTGTCCCCTTTATAGTCTCTTGGTTCATAGAGATTACATGAAACGAAAACGAACGTCTATTCATCTAACCTAGAATTCCAGATCCAATTCCAAATTTTTCGACTTACTTGACGTGTAAGTCATGGGACACTTTTGAACCAATGAATGCGAAGATTGAGACAAGACGCATCGACAGACGAAGCACCCCCCGCCCAGACACGGACGGTTAATAGTGGCTGTTGGTGTTGAATTTACGGCGTCTTCGCTGTCTTGGTTCCTTTCAGCGGTGAACATTCGACTTTTTGTAGTTTGGGACAAACCTGAAAATATCGGCAGAGTTGATTTTCTCTGCCAGCGTCCCATCAGATAACTTTATCAAGCTCCATCTTGTGGCTTCTTGCTGTTGTTCTTTCTCTGTAAAGTATGGATTTTCTGCATTGCATTGCAATGCTTGTCAAGGTAAGAATCGAAGTTAATTCTTTTTTGGTTTGAAGTTAAATCTTAGTATACTGTGTCTTTTATGCAAGTTGAAGTGTTGTATCAGGTCCTCTTTAAGTGCTAAGGCTAAACTTTAGAATACTTCCGCACTTATTGCATCACTTCTTTGAATAACAAAAGTGCCTTTCGTGTTATGCCTCGTTCATAAAGCGTTCCAACAAGTGGTGGTTTATAAAACAACGATCTTTTAGTGGTCAAAAGAGGGAAATCATGTGACTCCTTGATTGGATAATCAGTTACACCTCTGTTGCACTTTGGTATTGGTTAGCCGTGCAAGAGTTGACAAACATTGCTATAAGCTTATAAGGGAGAGGCAGATCAGAATAGAGCGACCCTTCCACGGTTTTTAACATGGATCAGTTAGGGAAAATCCGTCCACACCGCTGAAAAGAACGACTTGAATTAGTAAAATTTGCCAAATGTAAAAGTAATACGTCTTAAGTGAGCAAAGATATACAGTGGAACCCCGCTATAACAAAGTGCCACAGTACCAAAAAAAATTGTTTGTTATAGCAGGGACTTCGTTATAGTGAAGACCCCATAATAACGAATTATCTGGTTTATACTACAGTCGAACTTGTATACAACTCAGCAACCCTCGGGACTTGAGGAACTGGCTGCTTAATTCAGGTGGCTGCTTATAGCAGCGTGCAAAGAAAGTAGTGTCCGATAGCCTGGGGCTAGTGGATTTTGCTATCGGGCTAGTGAATTCTGTTTTTAACTTGCCCGACGGGCGAGTAATGTTTTTTGAGGAATTCGAATAACAGAAGAACTGTGACATCAATTCTGCTAGTCAAAAAGTTTTTGGGGCTTGTTGAAATGACGTCTGGGCTAGTAAATGCTAGCTTCAGCTTGCCCGAATGGCAAGCTGTAAAAATGATTTTCTTTACACCCTGTTATAGCCTGGGACCAGGCTCCACATCGTGGGAAAAAAGAGAAAAAAATTGGCGTTGGTGAAAAAAAAAAAAATTGGTAAGCGAAGTGAGCTGAGAGGTAGTCTGGGGAGGGGAAAGGGTGTTGGAGTCTGGAGACATGCCTTTGATGCCGCCGATCCGCCCTCCAGCAATTAACTTGTCATTGAAATGTCAACACATCAAGTTCTCATCACGGATGTCAGCACGAGCTCGTTATGTCACTTTTGTAAAATAATATTTGAATTCGAGATGAAGTAAGAGTGCAAGCAAAGAGATCTACTTAACTTCTTAACTTAACTTGTGATATATGGCATAATACCACTCGTGATATTTCAAAATTGTCTCAAATTTCACTCATGTGAAGGCTCCTGAAATTACGTATTTCAAAATATCACTCGTGGTGTTTATGCCAAATATCACTACAAATCATGCTATTACCTATACAAATCTGTCGTTTTTACTGACTACTGCAAGCGACCACACAAAATATTTGTTACGGTAGGGTAAATTGTGCGTTCGGGCCATCAAATTCTATTTGTTATAGCGGGGATTTTGTTATAGCAGGGTTGGTTTCCACATATTCAAGTGTAATTCTGCTAGGCTTTCAGATGTTTTTGGTTATAAGGTAGTCTTCGCTATAGCAGTGTTCCACCGTAGCTCCGCAAAGTTGCGAAAATTTACAGACGTTTGTACAGTGGAATCCCACTCTATGGACACCAGCTTAATATGGACACCCATATAATTATAATGGACAGTTTCGTTTGTCCTAATGGAATGGTCATATATTTTCTGTAAAAGAAACCCACTTAATACAGACACCAGTTAATACAGACAACGGACACCGTTGTATGTTCCAAGTCACATATTCTCATATATCATCAACCTTGCTTTATGGACACTGGTTATCTGCGCACTATGTGCACTGCACTGTATCTATTACTCAATATCTTACCAGTGAAAACCTAGCAGAAACAGCTAAAAACCTTTCAAACCTCCTGTCTAAAGACACCCAGATAATACGAACACTATGGTTTCACTGTATGTTCGGGGCAAGTTTGTGCCGCCCACCATATAAACATCTGTAAAATTTCACAACTTTGAGAGGCTATGTCTTTGTTAGTATTCTACAAATCACTTTCAAACATGGATTTTTTTCTGATTTAAGATGCTCTTTCCAGTGTTGTCAGTTTTGAAAAAAACGTGGAAGGGTCTATTGAACTAAGAAGCGCGAGTGCGTGGGGATGTTTGAGGGGGGAAGAAAGGGAAAGCCTACAAGGGTGCTGTTGATCTCGCCATTCCACCACTCATTAAATCCGCAAATCTGAGCTATCTGTGAAACATCTATGTGTCACATAATTTCTGATCAAAACATTCAGTTCCCTCATAGGAAAATCACACACATGATCCCATGTTATTGTATGATATTTCATGTCCCTCTTGACTCAAATGAGAATCCTTAATGTTGCCAGTAATCCCTCAGAAATGCAGAAGAATGAATTTTTTTTGTGTAAATCCTCTACAAGTTTGACCAATACTTCATTATTCCCCAAGAAAAGCTTGTCTAGCAAAATGAGATAAAGGTCAAACTGTTCACATTTTTATCTGCTTGGGGTTAGGACTGTGTCAGGGTGCTATTTGAGAACAGACCATACAGTAAAAACCCGCATATAAGAACCTAGATTTGTGATATGGAATATATTTCTGTATTAAATAATTATCCAGAATACAGTTTAGATGAAAAGACAGTCATGATATGGTTTTCGTTTAAGTTCATTCTTTGAATCTTACCGACGGAAACCAAGACTAAAATTTATTTTTCTGTATTTTCATCTGCACCCTCATTTTTGTAAAATAAGAACCTATAGAAAAGTTTAGGCTAAAGAGGTACTTATGAAAAGGGGTTTAAAATAAAAATTTTAGCCTAACAGGTTCTTAAATTTTAGGTTCTTATACGCGAGTTTTTACTAGGTTCAGTTTAGGATAAATTTATGTATGACATTATTGTTATATGTATTGTCATTTTGGTACCATCCCAAAAACTTGTTATTCAAACCATAGGACAGTGTATACACCTATTTCAATTAAGGTTGCTCCCGTGAACCATGTTTCATAGCCTGCAGTGCACTATGGTAAACCCTTTTGTAGCGGGAAGTCTAGTCTTGTTCACGTTCATTGAAATGTGAAAAAGCGTTCAAGAGAGTTTTCAAGTCAAATGGCTGCTAAAATTCTTAAGCATGAACGAGCTGAAAAATTTCATTTTAAAATCTCATTGTAAAAAATTAGAAGCGTCTTCTTTTAACAACATTAAATGAATAGTGTTTTACCGCCTGATTAAGCTGCGTTTTTGCATTGGCCAGAATGTTGGTTATTTCAATAAAGCAAATCAACGCTATTCTTTTTTTTATTCAGTTTTAAAAAATTACCTCAAAAATAGATAAAAACGTAATGTTAAGTTATTTATTATTGTTCCACAAACGCCTTGAATTTAATTTTTTTTAACTCCATCCAAAATTACCACGTGCACGAGCGAGGCAAACTCCTTGAAAATTTGCAGTATTTGCATATTACCACAGAGAAAACCTAACCTACAATCACTGCCTTAAATTAATAAGCCTAGGATTCAGTGTTTTGAAATACATTGTTTTAACGTTCTGCTGACATAGCATAGAGGAGTCAGCAGCCTTTGCTTTCTAGGTTTCTAGGCTCGTTGCGGGCACGTATATTACTAGACTTACTACAATAATGCACCGCGGGCTATAAAACATGGATCATGCATCATTCTTCTCAGAAGCAACCTTAATTGAAATAGGTGTATGTTACAGGTCAAAATTAAATTCAGGTTAAAATTTTTTAACCTAGGTTAATTCTCTATATTCCCTTTGTCTCCTAGCCCTAATAATTCATGAATTAGGGTTAGGAGACATAGGAAATTAAAACTCAACACTAGGTTTAAAAATTTTAAGCTGAATTGAATTTTGACCTGTACCATATACAACTTCAAATTACCCATTGAGTACACTCATAGCCATTGGCTAACTATTTTTCTTGTGGTTGTGACAAATGTGCTACTAATCATAGTTGCTTTGCTTCCAGTTTGTGTGAAGCCATTTCAACTTACTGTCATGCAAGCAACAAAGAGGAAGAGAGATGTGCCTGAAGACTCAGATGAAGAAGGTAATTTTTGTTGTGAGAAAATAGGTTCACTTATAGTTGAGAGTTGAAATGTGATCTCTGTACAGTGAGTAATAAGGCTGAAAAAGAAGACTAACTTTAAGGATACCTTCTTTTTTTGGGTTGTGGTGGGGGGAGCTTGTGTTAGAACTTCGAAGACCCTGGGAGGGGGAAAAATCTTTGTTTGGTTAATACATGCAAGGCTGGGGGGTGGTTTACTTGTAACTGCCTTTCAACATGGGGTCTTTTTAGCTGAACCACTAGCATGACACATTCTTATCATAATATTATTATTAACTCATTTTTAATTGTTTTTTCCTCCACTGATCAGAATCCAAGATATTAAAATCTTCAGAGGATACAACTAGCAGATCAGAGGGCAGTGATGGTAACACTACCCGGCTTACCACTGCTCTCCCGTCTAGTTCAAAGAATACTGCAAGTAACACAAAGAACCAAAGAACTGCTTCGGAAAAACAGAGAAAAAAGAAAAGAAAGAGAGAAAGAAAGGAAAGGATTCCAAAAGAGTGCATTAGGGACCCTCCAGAGCTTAATAAAATTCTCCCATCCTTGCCTGACATTAAGGCAAAAAATAGAAAACATGCTGATCTTCCTGTTGATGTTTTGTTACTGACAGTGAAGAATTGTGAGTTTTTAGCTTGTTACAGTGAGCTGAAAAACCCCTATCGATGTTATTTTGACGATCTTGGGTACGTGTACTTTTCTGATGTGAGTGAAAGTCAAGAGGAAGTTAAAGTTGCATTGTTAAGATGTGATAAAACTGGTCCTGGCGGTTCTCTCGTCTCTGTAAAGAATGCTGCCACTGTGCTAAGACCTAAAGCAGTTATATCTGTTGGTGCATGTAGTGGTCTTCATCCTGAGAAATGCAAGTTGGGAGATGTTGTTGTTTCTGCCAAATTAACAACATATGCATATAAAGTGGTGACCAATAATCAAGAACAGTCGACTGGCATGAGGAGTTATGTGAGCAAACGCTTCTTGAATGTCATTAAGAATTGTGCTGATGGCTGGCAAGCACCATTGAAGAACCTGGCTGATGCTGAACAAGTTAAAGTTTATACTTCTGCTGAGGTTCTGACTGGACCAGAACAAGTCATTTCTGGGCAGCGGTGTGATCAACTTGCTGAAACCAATCCTCAGGCAATTGCAATTGAAAATGAAGGAGAAGGTAGGATGACTGATTTTTTGCAGCCAGTCTTTACAAGCAGGTGCACACAACCAGGTTAAGCTTTGCTTGAGGTGGAAAGAGACATAATAGCATGCATTATACTTGTACTGGAAAGAAAAAATTTGTCTCCTTTAAAGCATCAAAAGGTCATGAGTTTGGCACTTAAAATCATGTCTGTCAGTTTCATTGGGAAATCCTCTTGTTTTTACCAGAGCAATAATTGTCATAATGCCTAAAACATTATGTGGCTAAATGAAATTTAGGCTAAGTTAAACTCTGGACATTGCTGACCAGTTAAGTCGGTCTTTCAAATAAGATAAAGGAGGGGTGCTCGAATGGCAGTGCAGGGAAAGCTTTCCTGTTGAGGTCATACCATTACATTCATGTAGCTTATTAACGTTGCTTGTACTCGTCAAATGTTCTGCTCCTTACCCTGCCTTCCCTTTGGTAAGTACAGTGGAATCCTCTTAATGCTGTCACCAATGGGTCAAAACAATCTGGCCGTATCAACAGGGTGGCTGTATTACGAGGGCAGGGTCAAACTTCATGACTTAAGGACTGTAATGACAAACATCATACATTGCTTTCACACTTCTTGTACTGCTGTGTTCTCTTTAAGAAATAAAAGGAATGTAGATATCACATACCATAATAATATTATTGTTAAGACTACTTGAAACTCCATCAGTACATAAAACACTGTTAAAAATCGGCTACTATAGTGCCACAAATACATTTTGAGTGACTATGGTCGTAGAAAAACAAGCTCAGTTTACTAAGTCAATGAAATTGACAATGTCACAGGCATTCCAATTTTCGAGATTTTTGATGCGTGGCCCTATTAATGGGGTGAAATTGTAAAAGATGCTACTGCTTGGGATTTTAAAATGTGGCCATTGGCCACATTTATGGGTGACTGTATTAACAAGCGTTTTTCATTAGAAAATGTATGGCTTTTTTGCCAGGCCAGAAAAAACTGTCCATAATAACAAGGTGACTGTATTACCAAGGTGACTGTAAGGCAGAGTTCCACTGTATCCAGTAAGTAGGCTCCACTGGTTTGCTATGAGATGGTGCCTGGGTGGATGCCACTCACAGGGGGCGCTTTACATTCAACCCAAAATCCAGAAATTTTGGTTGGTACATCAAATGGAACAGACCATTTTGGTTTGGTCCAACCGGAATATTTGGGACCAGCTTTGAGGGTGGTCCACTTTGACCAGTCTGGTCATTTCAATCAGTCAGACCGAACTATCCCTTTCCATTTGACAAAATTGTTATCCCCAGTACCGCTCTTTTGTATCCTGCTCACAAGAATAATAACCAAACGTGTGGTGGCTTGGGTCGGGTCTGTACAACCAGAATGTACTGTTTTATTGGGCAAGTGAAATAATTTCCGAAATTTAAAACCGGAATTTTTGTTCAATCGAAAGTACTCAGGGTTGTGATGGTCATGAGCTTCACTTGGCCTACAGTTTCCTGGCTCCACAAGCATCGCAGGCATCTCACCCCACACTCGTCTTTAATGATGAATTTAAATTACACTATAATTGACCTTAATATGCAAAAATGGCTTCCAACCAACATCTCCCACTGTCTGGTCAAGTTTCTTATTTTGCTGATGAAGGCACTTTAGTGAAACAGGACGTTTCCCTAAACTCATGCAAGGTTTGTTTTGTTGTTTAACAGGAGTATTTACAGCAGCATTTGATTGTCAAATTGAGTGGTTAATTGTGAAAGGAATAGCTGACTTTGCAGATGGTTTTCAGTTAGCTTCAGAGAGTTGGTCTTCCTGTGCCAGTTTGATGGCAGCATCTCTTGTTTCATACATTTTGAGTGATCCTTGTGTTTTCCATTCATGGCCTCATTATCAAGGTAATCATGCTCTCAAAGTGCTGCCACATCTTGGCATTTGATTTATTGAATCCATTGTTGGGTTCCTTTCATATTACGGTCACAGATAAGGTACATGGTACATGCTCTGGGGTGCATACCATCCCAAATTCAGCTGTCCAATACTCACCACTTCTTCAAGTTGTGTAAGTTGAGATTAAATGCGATGCAACTCGTATGAGTTGTAGGAGTTGTTACAAAATTTCTACCACTTGTGTGATTCATTCAAGTAGCTTAGTGAATGTGATATGTTTCTGTAATATATAACAAGAAGCATTAGAAGTGTGCATCTTATTAGGGACCGGTACATTTTGAGAGAATTTGCAATATTTAGAAGCTATCATGATAGTCTCGCATTATACCCTAAATCCTTTATTAAGCCCCCCTCCCCCTTTTCAGGAGAAGAGAGTTATTAAGCTCCCCTCCCCTCCCCTGATATATTATTCTTCGCTAATAAATGATAGACTGTATTAATCAATCATGACTGTAAAACTTCGTGTTGACTGATCTGGGATGGTTTCATACCAGCTGGAAGTTCGGATTTGATTCTGATCCTCGGCTGCATGACCTCCAACCTTCTTGTACTTGAGCTTTTCCACTTTGTATTCTAGTTCTTTAAGGAGAGCTGATACCATCGTGATTCTAAATTAATTAAGCTCCCCGCCCCTCTCAAATAAGCCCTCCATTAAATGAGCTTGTTATAAATAAGTCCCCCCGGGGGGGGCTTAATAGGGGATTTACGGTATGGTATTTTGACATTTGACATACATATCCTGGACAGTGGTGAAAATGATATTGTTTCGCTGATACGTGCGAAAGTTCGTGACATTCCATATGCACGTGCTCGTTGAAGCCCTTAATATTTAGTATTCATAAATCGTACCTTTCAGTAAAGCGAAATTGTAATTAACTCAAAGACATGAGTTGTAACTTGCAAGAGTAGATTCGTCGTGGAAAAGAGTGGAGAGTGGATTACAAGAGTGGATTTGAGAGGACTCAATGGATCGAACATTCGCGGCTGCAGGACACAAATGCTACCGGGTACCTATCGAGGAACATTGATCTGACATTCGTTATATTATTTTATTTATGCGTTCTCGTAGTGATATTTGTACTTTAATTCTACTTTAGGTTTCGAAGGCGTTGTAATGCATCTTTGAGAACGGTAATGAACATAGTGGATTGCAGCTAGCGAAACATTCGAAACCCGAAGCGTGACATCAATGATGGCTGATCAAGACGCCAAAAACCAGAGACGCGCTGCGAAAGGACGATTTACAAGAAAACTAGCTGAGTTAACGAAGTCAATCGAGGAGGACAAAGGATCAGAAATAGTGGGAGTGAACTTCGAGCAGCTGAACGAGGCATGGAGAAATGTGGAAGCCAAGCATGATATGTACACAACATTTTTAAAGGATAGCGAAGTAGAAGAAAGCGAAACGTGGATAGCAGAGTTACAGAGTTCATTTAGCGAAGCTATGGAGAAACAGGTTGAATACATCGGCTCAAAGGCGGCTAAGGCGATGGTAGAGAAACAGGTACTCAGTCAGCAAGAGGCGGCTAAAAAAGACTACGAAAAAACTCAAAAGTTAATCGATCAAGCTTTCATAAAGCGAGACACGGAGGAAGCAGTTTTTAGAGCGCTGTTAGAGGACGCCTTTAAATTGCTGGAAGCGTGCGAAGCCGACAAGGATGTAGTTCCTGCTCTCAGGAAAGTTCAGCAGGCGTTAGAAGCTTCGTTAGCTGGTTGCAAAGTGGCGAATGACAAATATTTGGAATTTTTGAGCAGAGAAGAGGCCTCGACTGAGGTGGGATGGATTTTGGTCGTGCAGAAACGATACAATCAAGTTGTGGACAGGATTGAATCAGTCATTGCCAATCAAACAAAGGTGGAAGTGGGCCTGAAAAATCTTGAAGCGAAAGCTACTAACCTTCGCCTTGAAAAAATAAAGATGCCCCGGTTTAGCGGAGAGCTGAGAGAGTACCCGAGGTTTAGAAAAGACTTTGAAATTCAAGTTATGCCAAGTTTAAACAGCAGCACTGCGCCTTACACTTTACGTTCCTGCCTCTGCGAGGGGCCACTGGCGGTCGTGAGGGGGGTCGACGATGACATTGATGAAATGTGGCGACGCTTGGACGAGAAGTATGGTGATCCAGCCAAGATAACAGATGTGATTATCAATAGCATACAGCGAGTTAAAGCCATAAAAGAGGGAGAAGATAAGAGATTCGTCGAGTTTGTCGAAGTTATTGAAAGTGGTTATCGAGACTTGTTGAGGCTCGGACTAGAGAAAGAGATAACAACCACAAGCTCCGTAAGCATAATTGAAAAAAGGCTACCAGCTGATATTAGAAGAGAGTGGGCGAGGCTCGTCAGCTCAGACTCGAGTAGCGTCGATAAGAAAAACAAATTTCCAGGCCTCCTCAAGTTTCTGCTCAACCAGAAAAGGGCAATCGAGTATGATTTATCAGATCTGCGAGCGTCCGGAAGTCCCGGAAGTCAAGCGGGCCAACAGTCTGTTCATTGTGCTGATGCAGTGGCTGAAGATCTTAAAGAAAACAAGCAGCAGCCTTTTGAAAGCAAGAGTAGCAGTGCGTGCCTGTTTCACAATAGTGCCAGCCACGGAACCGATGAATGCCAGTTATACCTATCCAAGACTCGTGGTGAGCGAATGGACATGCTTAGAGAAAGGGGTGCATGCTGGTCCTGTTTGAAGATTGGACATCGTCTACGTGATTGCAGAAGCAGGAAAGCTTGTGGTGAAAATGGTTGCACAAGGACGCATCACAGAACATTACACGAGGAAAATCGGGAAGCCAGCGTTTCTGTAACAGCAAGTTCTTGCGGTGATCCTTTGAGCGACACATGTCTTCTTCTACTTCAAAGAGTTAGAACAGGAAAAGGCTGGGCCAACGTTATGTGGGACAATGCAGCATCATTAAGTTTCATCACCAACAGCAAGGCCAAAGCGGAAATGTTACACGGCACGAGAGTAGAAATATCTATCGTCAAAGTTGGAGGCACGAGTGAAACAATTATGTCTAACAGGTACCTTCTCCCGCTGATCGACTCTCAGGGGCAAGTCGTACCGTTCGAAGTTTATGGTATTGATGTAATAACGGCGGACATTCAAAGTGTGAGCGTCAATAACGTAGTACATCTTTTTAAGGATGTTACACTGGAAGAGATAAGAAGACCAACCGGAAGTGTGGACGTGCTAATAGGATATGGATACGCCGGATACCACCCTGTACCAGAACAAAAATCGGGTCATTTGCTGTTGCTAAGAAACCGATTCGGAAGATGCCTCGGCGGCACTCACGCGGAGTTAAAGGATGCAAATCACGCAATGCAGAATGCCCTCGTGCACCACGTAGCCGAAGTAAAGATCGAAGACTTCTACAATATCGAGAACCTGGGGGTGGAGTGTACGCCTCGCTGTGGGGGTTGCAAATGTGGAAAATGTGCGCTCGGCGCGAAGAATTACAGTCTAAAGGAAGAGAAAGAGCTACAATTGATTGAGAGAAATCTGCACTTCAATAATCTTGAGCATAGATGGATGACTCAATATCCATGGATAAGAGACCCGGCTGATCTTCCAGACAATAGAAAGGCCGCATACGGAATGCTATTGTCTACGGAAAAGAGACTCGCCAAGAATACTGACCACGCAAGAGTATATCAGGAGCAGATACAAGATATGATAGACAGGGGCGTTGCCCGAAAGCTAACGAAGAGCGAATTAGAAGCCTACGATGGGCCCATTCATTATGTTTCGCATCATGAAGTTGTACGTCCGGATTCAAAGTCCACGCCAGTACGAATAGTCTTTAACACCAGTGCCAAATACATGGGTCACGCGTTGAATGAATATTGGGCCAAGGGACCGGACCTTCTGAACAGCCTTCTGGGTGTGCTGATAAGGTTTAGAGAGAACGAGGTGGCGTTAATTGGCGATATAAAGAAAATGTACCATTCCGTGGGAACCACCCAGCTCGAACAGCACACGCATCGGTTTCTATGGAGAGACATGGACGCCAGGAAAGAGCCAGACACGTACGTCATACAGAGAGTCTCATTTGGCGATAGACCGTCGGGAACCATCGCAACGGTAGCTTTGAGAAAAACGGCCGAAATGGCGCAAGAGAAGTACCCTCAAGAGGCCAAAATCATTAGAGACAACACCTACATGGACGACATCATTGAGAGTGTTGGTGATAGGGAGAGAGCCGAAAGCGTAACACGGAACATAGAGAAGCTGGTCGACATAGGGGGATTCAAGATTAAAGGCTGGACCATCTCGGGCAGCTCTGACAGCCTAAATGAGAAGGAGATACCTAGTGAAACGTATGCACCCGCAGAGAAAGTCTTGGGAGTTTGTTGGAGACCCGTCGAGGACCTGTTTTGCTTCAAGGTGACGTTGAATTTCTCCCGACGAAAGAGAAAGCTGCATACCGAGCCGGATATAGAATCCCATCAACTAGAAGAGAGGTTTCCTGCGAAGTTGACAAAGCGAATGATTCTCTCCCAGATCAACAGCATCTATGATCCACTTGGGTTGGCAGGTCCATTTACCGTTAGAGCGAAAATCATGATGAGAAAATTGTGGATGAGTGAAGCGGAGCGGCTTGACTGGGACGATCCAGTGTCAGACGAATGCAGAGCAGAGTGGAATACATTTTTTTCAGATTTATTTATCATGAACAACATCAAGTTCGGTAGATGCCTTAAGCCCACAAATGCGGTTGGTGACCCAATGCTGGTGATCTTCAGTGACGGATCAAATAGTGCTTATGGTGCGTGTGCGTACGTCCGTTGGGCACTGAACGGTGGAGGGTTTGAAAGCAGATTAGCCATCTCTAAGAACCGACTCGCGCCAGTTAAGGCAATGTCCATTGACCGGATTGAGCTGTGCGGAGCCGTGCTGAGCAAGCGTCTTAAAGAGCTCCTGGAGAGAGAGACGAGATATCGATTTACCACGTGCTTGCACATTGTTGACTCACAGATAGTACACGCCATGGTCCAAAAGGAATCATACGGGTACAACACGTTTGCTGCAACACGCATTGGAGAGATTCAAAGCGGTACTAATCCCGAAGACTGGTGCTGGGTAGTTAGCGAGCAGAACATAGCCGACTGGCTCACTCGAGGCAAGGAGCCAAACGAAATCGACTTAAACAGCGCGTGGCAGAAGGGTCCAGATTTCTTGAAGTTGCCAGAGTCTGAGTGGCCTATTAGTAGGATCTGTGCCATACAAGAGCTTCCACAGGAACCTAGGGTCGTTATGATAGCTAACACCAAGCCCAAAGACTCCCTAGCGGTCAGGATTGACATAAGTAGATATTCGGATTATACGAGGCTGGTTAGAGTGACGGCTAGAGTGCTTGCCATGTTCCGAACCGATTATAAGCCGAGCTTCAGAAATGCTGCCAGAGTCCTTGAGCCGGCGGATGTTACTAAAGCGGAGCGATTCTGGATTCTCCAAGCCCAAGAAACTATGTTAAGTGACATGAAACGTGGACGATTCAGACGCCTGTGTCCAAGAGTTCGAGAGGATGGGATAATTGTCGTAGGAGGACGTGCAGAGAAATGGCTGGAGATGAGCTACAATCAGCGCGAAGTTCCACTTCTACCGTTTAGGCATGAGTTATCCCGCTTGTACGCGAAACATATACACGAAGAAGGCCATCAGGGAGTATCTGCTACGACAAGCAAAGTGAGATCAAGGTTCTGGGTCATCGGGCTGCCTAGGATAGTAAAGTCAATTAGATACAACTGTGTAACTTGCAAGAAGCTGGACAAGAAGACTACGACGCAACTGATGGGACGGCTCCCCCAGGAAAGGCTTAAGCCAGCACCTGCGTGGAATTGTACGGCAGTTGATTTATTTGGCCCCTTCAGGATTAGAGGTGAAGTCCAGAAGCGAACCACAGGCAAAGCATATGGCGTCATCTTCAACTGCCTTAGCACGCGAGCAGTCCATGTAGATTTGGCGCCTAATTACAGCACTGAGAAATTCTTGATGGTCTTAAGGCGATTTGTGTCACTGAGAGGTTACCCAGCGAAAATGATTTCAGATAATGGTACTCAGTTAACAGCGGCAAACGAGGAGCTCAAGAACGTTGTGGCATCTTGGGATTGGGATGAGCTGGCCGCGTTCGGAGCCACAAAGGGAATGGAATGGAAATTTGTTCCGGCCGACGCGCCTTGGCAGAACGGGGCCTCAGAGGCTCTTGTGAAGTCTGTGAAGAAGGCAATTACGGTAGCGGTCGGTGAGAGTGTGATGACCTTCTCTGAGTTGCAAACAGTCTGCTATGAGGCAGCAAACCTAGTTAACGAAAGGCCAATTGGTAGGCATCCGACGTCACCCGAAGATGGGACTTACCTGTGCCCTAACGATCTCCTTTTAGGCCGATCCACCTCTAGGGTTCCTAGTGGTCCCTTTAGAGAGACGAGAAACCCAAATCACCGCTTTGAGTTCGTTCAGCAGATTGTAGACGCTTTCTGGAGAAAGTGGATTAGAGATTTCTTCCCAAGTCTGATTGTGCAGCAGAAGTGGCATACAAAGAAGCGCAACGTGAGGGTAGGTGATGTAGTGCTGATCCAAGATTCAAATCAGGTGCGAGGTAACTGGAAGCTCGGTAAAGTGTCCAAGGTTTACCCTGGAGATGATGCCAGAGTAAGGAAAGTGGACGTGGAATACAAAAACCCCAGACCAGGTGAACCCGTCGACAAATACGAAGGCAGGGGCTACGTCACCGTGCAGAGAGCTGTGCACAGATTAATCGTGTTAGTTCCAGTGGACGATACCGAGGGAATCTCCGCTGAGCAGTAAGAAGGAATATCAGTTGTCCGAGCGCAGACGAGAGAGCAAGTATAACGGTGACGATATAAACTTCCCCAAGCGGTTTTGTGGGGGGAGTGTTTCGCTGATACGTGCGAAAGTTCGTGACATTCCATATGCACGTGCTCGTTGAAGCCCTTAATATTTAGTATTCATAAATCGTACCTTTCAGTAAAGCGAAATTGTAATTAACTCAAAGACATGAGTTGTAACTTGCAAGAGTAGATTCGTCGTGGAAAAGAGTGGAGAGTGGATTACAAGAGTGGATTTGAGAGGGCTCAATGGATCGAACATTCGCGGCTGCAGGACACAAATGCTACCGGGTACCTATCGAGGAACATTGATCTGACATTCGTTATATTATTTTATTTATGCGTTCTCGTAGTGATATTTGTACTTTAATTCTACTTTAGGTTTCGAAGGCGTTGTAATGCATCTTTGAGAACGGTAATGAACATAGTGGATTGCAGCTAGCGAAACAGATATTATCATTCTATTTGTCATCAATGTATCAATAAAATATCAATTTTGTTATCTAACTAATGAGTGTTTCTTTGGCAGGACCACAACCACAAGAGTTAATCGCCCACTATGATGAAAATGGCACTAAACCACCATCTACCGCTCCATTGAGCCTCCAACACCCGTCAGAACCGCAGCAACAAGAAAATGATGACAATCCAACCATAAAGCAACCATCAACCGCTTCATCCAGCAACGCTTCACTTGATTCGTCATTCAACCGTACTCAAACAAATGAAGAAACATTAGTAGCTCCTTCCATAAAGCGAATGAAGAAACATGTCCGAGAAGTTACCGAACGACCTAACAAAGATCTTAAATCACCTTTTGATGATCCAGGCGAAGGAAGAGATCTAAAGCTTGACGAAATCTTCACCAACTTGATTGTTTATAAGGGGAGAGCTAAGTATGACTTTTCTGGAGACAGAGGGCAACAACTTAAAGAGTACCACAAAGCCAATGAAAATTTGCGACCAACACGGCCAGGAGATATTTTCGATGCTGAAAAGCAAAAGATTCTTGTTGTCGGTCGTCCTGGAATTGGAAAAACCATGTTTAGCACAAAAATTCTCCGTGACTGGGCGTCCGATAATTTGTTGAACGAAACACAAAAATCACAAATAGATTTCGCTTTTCTCATTAAGCTGAGGATGTTTAACTCTACCGACAAAGAACTCAATCTTCGCGAACTACTGGATCACTCAGAGTATTCAACAGCTCTATCTAAGGATACCTGGAACTACATCTGTAACAACCCAGAGCGAGTACTGATTATTTTTGATGGATTTGATGAATATTCTGGCAAGACTGAAATCAATAAAGATGACGTCCAGCACAGAAACAATGAAGAAGACAGGATGCCTGTCCATTTCCTGCTACAGAAAATAGTATCCGGAAAACTTCTTACCCGTTCGACAGTCTTAGTGACTACAAGACCAAACGCAGTGTCATGTATCAGAATTCGCGAGTTCGACAAAACTGTTGAAATTCTGGGATTTACAACTGAGCAAGTGGAAGATTATGTGGAGAAGTTCGCAGAAGGCGATGACCAAAAAGCAAACACCATAAAGCAACACATCAACGGTAACTTAAACCTTCTCGCCTTCTGCTACATTCCTGTGAATTGTTTCATCATTTGCTCCTGCTTGTTTCAACTGCTGAGCAACTCAAACTCCGCTAGCCCTTGCCTCCTACCTACAACACTGACCGAAGTATACTCCATCGCCGTCAAGTTTTTTTACTTTCGTCACCACACTAAAGTAAATAACGTAGAAAAAATATTTCTTAAGCCATTTAAGGAACTGTCTTCCTCTATGCAAAAGGTGTTCAAACGTCTAGGAAAAATTGCTTTTGACGGAATTAGAAAGGGAAAACTAATTTTTGAATCGCACGAAGTTAACGACCTAGAGAGTAATGGCCTGTTCCACCGTTTACCCGATACTAAAGACCGTCCTTTAGCTGAGCCAAGACCGCAATATTGTTTTATGCACCTGACGATACAGGAGTTCTTCGCGGCGAAGTATTTGGTGGACACGTTGAGTTCCGAAGAACTGAGAAAGTTTGTTTCCGCTCACATCCAGGATGGCGCGTGGAAGGTTGTGATGCAGTTTGTGGCTGGACTGCTGCCTGAAAAAGAAGGACAGTCAACAGATATTTTCAGCGACCTTCTTCCCTCAAAGACGGATACTATATTAGTTGAAACCGAGATGAATGAAGATTCAGAGGAACCAACTAAAACACTGACGTGGTGGCCAGCTCGTGAAGACAAGGCTTTAGTGGTGACGCTATTCAATTGCCTGTATGAGAACAATGCCTCTGATCGAGAAGTTCAAAAGAAACTGGCGAAAATTGCTTGTAATGCGCTTAATTTTCGTGGATGTAACCTGTCACCTCTCGACTGTTTAGTATTAGTGCATGCACTTAAATCTGTTGAAGGAATTTTGGATTTTGATTTATACCACAACAACCTTCAGTCGCTAGGATGTATTGAGATTGCGAAGTTGTTACCTGGCAACCAACACAATCAGGGTTTTTGCGAACTAAAAAGATTATACCTCGGGAATAACAACATAACTGATGAAGCAGTTAAACATTTATCTACAGCACTCACACACACTAACTGCAAACTAAAAATATTAAACCTCAGGAGTAACAACATAACTGACGAAGCAGTTAAACATTTATCTACAGCACTCACACATACTAACTGCAAACTAAAAAGATTAAACCTCAGGAGTAACAACATAACTGATAAAGGTAAAAATCTCCTAAACTCAATGAACATAAACTGTAAAGTAGTTTTCTATTAAATCCTTGTATGCAATGTAAATGTTTCTCTGTTGAAGGAACTTTGAATTTTGATTTAAGCTTCAACAACCTTCAGTAGCTAGGATGTATTGAGTTTGCGAAGTTGTTACCTGGCAGCCAACACAATCAGGGTTTTTGCGAACTAAAAACATTAAACCTCGCTTTTAATCAGATAACTGATTAACACCACACTAACTGCAAACTAAACAACTTAAAGCTGAATCATTATTGCTTTTTCTAAACTTAAAGCTCAATAAGATAACTGATGGATGTATAAAACGCTTCACTGCCAGCACTGGACTTACACATACTAACTGCAAAAGAAACAAAGCTTAGACCTTAGAGCTAACAAAATAACCCAGCAAGGGAAAAATCTCTCAAAAGCAGGGAAAATGAACTATAAAGTATTTATCTAAGCATGTGTAAATATATTTTTATGAATAGCAATAATTTGAGATACATTCCTTGACATTATATTTTCGATTTTTTAAAAAGAAGTTAAGTTTTCTGAGTTCGTCAATCAGGTAACTTCTAAGCAATCTCGAAGTTCTTAGGTTTTCATTTATATATTGTTTTGTTTTGTTTTTTTGTTGTTTCATCATAATAGTGTGGGTTTTTGTGAGAAGAGAACATTTGTTTGGACATTACTATAGCTTTACATAGCAACAGGGTGTGATTTGAACAAACCAAAAGAACTAAAAGCTAAAAAGGTTTAGAATAGATTACAGTTTACTAACTCCTAAAAAATCTCCACTTATCGTGAAGCCTAGCATTAAAAACAATGTGTGTTAATGACCCATAATGAAAACTGGAACAAATTGATGGACATTTACATTTAACTTAGATAACTAAACATACAGCTACATTTGAAGAAATTTTCCTATAGGAATGTATTTAGTACAATGTGATAATGCTCCACTGATTGACAGTAAGCGTCACCTTAGAATTATATTTTGCAGTTACTGCTATCTAAAAGTGACTGATGCATCATGCTTAGCTTTCTTGCAGTAATTCATCCTTGTATATAAGTTTAGTTTTTGATATGATTAAAGTTCTGTTAGACCAATATTATAGTTGTCTGCCTGGCCTCCCTCCTTAGTAAATCAATCTGTACATCCAGCAAAATGCAGGGCAAACTGCTTTTGGGACAAAAACGTATAGAAATCAGTAACAAGGGGATTGCGCGGGGAGGGGGGCGAAGGATATGCGTCCCCTTTACCGCACGGATATTTTATCCTCGGCTCAGATGTAAAACTTTTTATGTAAACCATAACGGATTCAGACCCGCTTGAGTTGGTTTCGAGCTGGAGCGGTTGTTTCATGCCCAAAATGAAGCGTCTCTGCGCTTTGGTTTTGGTCACGGGAAGGGCCTCCCTATTTGTTGAAGTTAAAAATCTTTTTTCTGACCAAGTAATCCTGCCCTTAATAGTTTGAAATCAGCGGCCTTACTGGCAGTCAGAAGGCTGATTTCACCAACTCACCTTCAGAAACTGTAAACGGCAGCCACCGCTTATGTTATTGACTTAATGGGTGCCAGCTAACACACCTGCTAACATAAGAAGTAACAATTATGCGGAAATCAAAGATTCCCGGTGAAGCGAAACTAGCACAAGGGTACTGTTAAAAAAATGCATGTTTTTATCCTGGGGCGGGAGGGGGGGGACGCACTTGAGGAAAGTTTGGGTACGGATAAGCCGCTGAGTCCTTCAAACCCTGAACATGTTGAAGACAAAATGATCCGTTGTTTCCGCGGTTTCGTGACCCAGTCTCAGTATTCGTCTCTTCTGTTTGTCGTCACGCAACGGTCCTCCAGGTTTTTGGGGTAAGACATAAACACAATAGAAGCTCTTTAACCCTTTAAGCCCTAAGAGTGATCAGCGTCAAATTTCTCCTTGTAATATCACTGCTTTATAGAACAGAGTGGTCATGAGAATTAAGGACATGATCACACAAGATGAATCCAATTGATACTTCAACAAATTCTCCCCACTACTTCTATTGAAAACGTATAGGGATAACAAATGAGAATTTGAATTGTGATGTTAGAGTTTAAGGGGTTAAAGAGTAGTCTCCCTAATCCGCTCTGGGATAACAAGGAAAGAGAGTGTAGGTGGAAGCTATTCCGCCGTCTCTGGATATTTGTATAAGTGTTTATGGACTCATGGGATCGCAGGTTCACCAAACCTAACCAGTCGTTTATGATACACATTTTAATATTATTTGACTCTTTGCATTAACACGATACAGTTACTACATTTACTACAACATGTATGACTTTTTCCTTTGCGTGAGTCAAAACGTTACATCCTAGAAGGGGAAAATTTAACGTACATTCATTATTTCTTGCAACAGCGTCGTCTGCAGCAATGTCTCTATCATTTTCAAAACCTTTTTGTTTTTGTGTTAACTATCATTGGGAAGTAATATTTCTTTTTCTGTTCCTTGTCGTTTATCTATGTCATCATTTTGTTTATCCCGCTCGTTACTATTATCACTGTCTCGATTCTGCTCCTGTTCCTTATCATCGTCCATCTTATTGTACGCCTCGGTAAATTTCTCCTCAATGAAGCTCTCCACCAAACCTTGGATCTCCCCTTTATCTGGGCATTCAAGTTCGTCAAGAATCCGCCGGATATCTTGTACAGCTGCAGATGTGGATCCACGATGCAGCTCCTAAGATGATTTGACGAGTAACGTGATAACGTAAAGTGGCTGCCCTGAAGAACCTGGCACCGAATTTTACTCTCTCTTCGGTGGACGTGCCAATCCCTTCATAAGATATCCTCTGGCTATTAAGAAATTCAAATCCACTTCCTTCTAATTCTCTGAGCAAAACCGCGTCATCATGCAGCGGTTTAAGGAACTCTGCTAAGCTAGAGATAAAGCTCTCTAAGGAATCTAACTGTTTCTGGAGCTCACTACAAGCTTCACGATCGTCCTCAATTGCCGCTTGCACGTCTTTGAGTCCTAAACTTTCCAAGATTATCTCAACGACTTTGGAACCAGACATGACCATTCCCCCCGCGCCACCAATTCCTGCCCCTACAATGGACACTACGATTCCGGCCCCAAATGTGAATGGTGCAGCAATGAGGCCCGCAACTCTCAGGATTCCTATTATTAACTTTCCTATGATGCTCATGTAGCTTTGTTGCTAGTTCTTATATTTGTTTTTAGTGCGCGATCTTGTTGGAATCCAGCTTAGAAAAGCTTCGTGTCAAAAAAAGCATCACCATCGGCACCTTACCGACTGCCTACCCGTAAGGAAATAGTACGGGAAAGCATTTTAAAGAAAAATACAGAGGTAGAGTCTAGGGAAGAGCTTGATAGCCTGTTGGCCTGTTAACTCTTTTATGATTCTTTTATGTCTTCTCACTGGACTGATCGCAATGGTAGATTTCCTTACCCCTTCATATAGTCTCTTGCTATTAAATTTGCCTGTGTTCAATTATGGGTGAACAGAGTAGCAATGGGCCAATCAGTAAAAGGTAAATATACCCTTAAACATTTAACTGGAAACAACGTGAATCTCATAAAAGTTCCAGTGACTCTAGCGGTTACTACTAATCTGAGATGCGTTCAATTTTCCGCGAATCGATCAATCGGTATGCAAACCCGCAATAAGCAAATTACTCATGATGACCAATTGTGGATTAGACCTTCATTTTTAAGGATTCAGTTTACAGGCACATCGGCATATCCTCGGTTAACCGAGGATTTACTGAACTCTTGAGTTATTGAGCGGTGCACTGAGGGGGCGTCTAAATAAATCGGAAATCTTCGCTTCTTTTCGAAATGTGGCCTGAGTGTTTCGGATACATTCAATACATTCAGGCTGTACTGATTTTTCTGAGCGTCACTTCACTTCCTCGTTATTAGTTAGGGGATTCGAAGATTTATCGAGTGGTATTCGGCGAATCACTAGCC